CGAGACGGATAGACTGCGTCTCCAGATTTAACTGGCGCCCGATGCGGCGACGACTAACTCTTGGACAAGGGACGCCCCAAGAATCCCACTGAGGAACTTCCACAAATCATGCAACCAGTTCTCATCCCTCTCAACACCGACCCCGCCATGGCAGTATTGCTCGCTGCTATCAATCAGACCAATGCCCTCATCCTACAACAAAATTAAAGGATAAGGGTCTGGGAGAATAATCGGTCAAGATCTTCTCCTCAGAGAACCCGACGATGAAACTCCCCCAGTATATCACCACCTAAGTGTGGCCTTCCCACAAGAAAGAAGAGGCGCGGCGTTTCTTTCATCAAGAAACGCAACCGCACACCTCCTACGAAAGATCAAGACTCCCCTTCATCCAAGAAGAGGAAAGACAACCTCAAATTGAACGCACTCGATCGCCTTCGCCCAAACCAAGACAGAAACGGAGGAACCCCTCCCTCCTACGAGACCGTGACGATCGACGGGGTAGAAACTATCACTCCCCTTCTCCATCTCCCGCGGATAGTGAGGACGACGAGCGTCGTGGCCTGCTATCGAGGGAAATTACAGAATCCCCACTCCCTGTCGGCCTGGAGAAGCTGCCTCTGTTGGGAACCTACGACGAAACGAAGGACCTCGATGAGCATATCGAGAACATTGACGCTCTCCTCGAATATCGAGGAGTTCGAGGGGCCATCAAATGCAGATTATTCCCAACCACTCCCAGGAAAGGGGCGATGTCTTGGTACAAGAACCTCCCCGATGAATCCATCACCTCCTGGAAAAAGCTCAGGAGGATATTTTCGAGGCACTTCACCGCCTCCCGTCGACACCCGAAGTCGGATGCTTCGCTAGAAGAAGTCATCAAGGGAAGAGATGAGTTTATGCGGGTATACATTAAATAATTCAACAAGGAAGCAGTCCAGGTATCAACGACCGACAACATGAAGAAATATCTCCTCGAGCGAGGGCTCCTTCCCCACAGTGACTTCGCCAAAGTTGTGGGCATTGAGACAATGGAAACGCTCGACTCCCTCCTACTCAAGGCCCAAGCATACATCCAATACAAGGAGAAGGAAGCAACCAACAACGCAAGGGATTCGAGGCACAAAGAGAGTGAAAAGTCCTTGAGGAGTGACGAGACTCGACATCTCGTCAGGGAGAAAAGAAACGGGAAGGCATGTCATGGGATTCCAAGGACTACAAGGGGCCAGCTGGTCATTTCCACGACTACACCCCTCTGACTACCTCAAGGGAGCGTATTCTATCTGAATGCGCTAATTCTGAATTTAGGCAAGTCGGGGGTACGCTTCCCCGATAAACACCGTCCAAATCGGGAACCAACAAGAGCAAATATTGCAGGTTCCACAAAATTCACGGGCATGCCACTGAGGATTACATTCATCTCAAGGATGCAATCGAAATACTAATTCGAGATGGGCACCTCAAACAATACAAAAAGAAGGAGGATGCTCGCGAAGAAGCACCAGAAACCAAAAACGTCGAGGAAGGGAAGAAGTCCCCCGACATCGATGCCATTCTGGTCGCCATGAGTATCTCGCAACTGAAAGATTTCTATTACCCGTACATGGAGAACGTCCCCATGTACTTTTCCTCCCACTGTCCTTGGGAATCTTTCCCCACAGCCATGGTTATCTCTGGCGGGGGATTCAACAGGCACACGGTTGGGTCGATAAAAAGGAGATTCGACCAGCTCACCGAAGCCAACTCGGATATGGATGCCAAGCTCAACAAATTCCGAGGAGGCTCCCATCCCCCCGCCTTCCATAGGGAGATCATTCGCGACCATTTAGAGGCATAGAAATACCACGAGGCCTTTAAGGCCTATGGAAAGCATTTCCCCCTATAGGGGGGGGGGGGGGGGTTTCCTGGTGGACCCTGTGGTCCTATATAAGTCAAAATAAGGCTACTAGGAGCGTTCGACTGCATTGGTGTCGTACTCGTTGAAGAAGGTATAGCCTCTGAAAAAGGTGCAGCCACCATTGTTCCTCCTGTCGAAGTGAATGAGGGTGGTACTTCATTGTTAGGAGGATTTTAATTACTTGGCTGACTTTGGTTTGTCATTTTTCTCGCGTATTTTCTTTTAGGTATTTCCTTGTTATTTGTGGCTAATTTACCACTTCTAAGTCTCATGCAACGAAGTAAAATACAGGAAAATGATGAAGATTTTCAAAAACTTTTCACAAGAACAAAAATATTATTATTTTTAATTGAACACAGGTCCCATTGGACGTGCCAATTTATTTACCGTGAAAATTGATAAACAAGTGCTAGTCCTCTAAAAACAACAAAAAGTCCTTAATTACTCACAGGATCGACATGTGTTCTTATTTAAACTTTGTTCTTTGAAACGAAGAATACTTCGATGATATTCATAGTTTTTCGATAATGTTAGTTTTGATCTAAATAATTCTCTAAAGTAAACTTACGAAACTTTGTAAAGAAAGTGCAATAAAAGCAATTGAAAGTAAATTACTAAAGTAAATTCTGAATGATAATTTGCAATTAAACGAAAGACGGTGTTTACACGTACATTTCTCATAGGACTATTTTTTCAATACGCAAATACTTTGAGTTTAAGTGAGATTTTATACAAACGAATGAACACCTTGAATCCTATCACTAAGACCCATATATATATATATATATATATATATATATATATATATATATATATATATATATATATATATATATATATATATATATATATATATATATATTCTTTCCACATCTAGATGCCACGTTCATGACATGCAAATTCTTCAAACTACTAAACCTCCACGTTTCTTCTGGATAAGATTGAATTTCGATTTCTTCTATTACGGAGAGCGCCAAAACACAATATGATATTCGAATTCAAATTTCAAATACTTTGAATTTCTTTAAAACAAAGACTTTCTTTAATCTTTATATAATTGATTTTCGACCGTCCACTTATAAACAAAATAGTCGAAACTTTTACAAAATACCTCTTTCAAAAATAATTTGATTTTAAATTTTATATATTTTTATCAAAATTTCCAACTAACACAAAATCTAAAATCTAAATGACTCAACCTATTCTCAATCCTACTTACAACTATCTCGTCTTCAAAAATATTTTTTTATAATCTAAGTGACTCAACCTATTCTGAATCCTACTTACAACTATCTCGTCTTCAAAAATATATTTTTATAAATATATCAATAATTCTGGTGGGAGGGAATATCTATTATTGAGAAAAGATATGGATATATTTAAGCAAATTAATTTGTTGTACTAAGTACATACCAATAATCTCATAAAAAAAAGTACATACCAATAATCTCATAAAAAAAAGTACATACCAATAACTTGGACGTAAAGAGTTTTTCTTTGAAATGATTATAAGTAAGCAAAAGTTAGGTGGATAAACACACCAATTACCGCTCTAATGATATGGTTCACTCTCTAATCTAGAAGAAGAGTTATCTATATGAAATAGACTACGTATCATACATAAAGTTACTTCAACAAATTAAACAAAATCCACCTCCAAATTCTAGCTATAGCATTTACAGGCCCTTATTAATTCCCCAATATATAAATGCAAATCTTCCATTAGAATAAAGGAAAAATAGAGGGAGAATCACCTAGAGATAAAATAACACATGAAAAGTAACAAGACAAAAATAATCGTAAAATCTTTCACCAAATACAACCTATAAACGTGAATTTTTGACAGAACTAAAAATAAATTAAATCACATTATCTTTCTTTCGAACTTTTACATTACATGTAAAATTTTAGTTTAATTAGAAGTCAATATTATTAGAGGCAATCATCAGAATTTGAACTCCATATATAATTGTGTGAAAATTTTTAATAAATATTATTAATTTGTCAGCAGACCAATATTTTTTTCCATTTTCCAATTTCTTCAAAAGAATAAGCTAATTTTCTAATATTTTAAAGAAGAAAAACATTAAAAGAGTGTTTGTTTTGTAGATTGTAAATTTATTTATAAAAATATAGATTGAAATATTTTTTATTTTCATGTTTGTTTTAAGTTTTTCAAAATTATATCTAAGAATCTTTTATTTTCAAAAATTTATTTTATATGTAATTTTATCATTTTTTATTCCCATATTATAGAGTAAGAATCTCACACTTTTATGAAAATAAGAAATAACTACTCATAATCTTTAATTTTCAAATATTTCAACTTTTTTATTTTTATTTTAAATTAAATATATTTTATAAATATTTCAAAAAAATTAAATTTTTTAGTAAACAAATAGATAAGAATAAAATGTCTAAGAATAATATTCCAAGAAATAATGTACTCAAAATATTTTAATCCTTAAAAATAAAGGCATCATAAATTTTTTACTAAAAAAAATAAATTAATTATGAGTACAATTATAATTAAAATATTGTCACAAAGGAGTGTTTGTTTCATAGGTTGTAAATTTATTTTTAAAAATGTAAGTTAAAATATTTTTCATTTTCATATTTATTTTAAATTTTTTAAAATTATATCTAAAAATCTTTTATTCTCAAGAACTCAATTTACATATAATTTTATTATTTTTTATTTTTATATTATAGAGTATGAATCTCACATTTCCATAAAAATAAAAATAACCACTTATAATTTTTAATTTTCAAATATTTTAATTTATTATTTTTATTTTTTAAATTTTAAATTAAATATATTTATAAATTTTTTTAAAAAATTAATTTTTTTACTAAACAAATAAATAAAAAATAAAATTTCTAAAAATAATATTCTAAAAAATAACATTCCCAAAATTATATTTTTAATCTTCGAAATAAACACATCATAAATTTTACTAAAAAAGAAAATTAATTATAACTACAATTACAAATAAAATATTGTCAGAAAAACACATAGTTATAATTGTTATATATAAAAATAAAAATAAAAATAAAGATAATCATTATATAATTAACCACTGAAGCATGCCGTGAAAGATTACTGCTACGGAAGTTCAATCTCCGGCGCTGCCGCAACATTAACAGAGTAAGTCCACCACGATCCGTTCACAAGCTCCGGCAACTCAATCTCCCCCCAAAAATCATCACCACCACCACCACCACCGGAATCAATGCTCCCATTCTCCGCTTTTGTAACCATCATGCGAGCTGCTTTAGCCGCCGCTGCCTGAATATCCCTAGCCGTACACAAATCCGGCGGAGGAAGCAACGGAAGACGGTGCACTTCATCGGGAAAATTAAGCTGCGCCTTACGCCCTTTCAAACAGTACGCAGCAACGTCGTAAGCCTTGGCCGCCATCTCCGGCGCCGGAAAAGAGCCTAACCATATCCGCGACTTCTTCCGCGGCTCTCGAATTTCCGACACCCATTTCCCCCACCGCCGTTTCCGGACGCCATGATAAACTGGATGCCGCGTTCCGCCACGGACGTTTCCGGAATTCGCGGCGGAATTTTCGGATGTAACGGTTTTAGCTGTAACGGTTTTTACTGCCACGTCATCTGTTTGTGTGAAGTTCAAATCGTGCTTCTCCATTCAGATTTTTTGTGTGCTTGGGTTTAACTTCGGTGTTTATAATAACGAAGTTCACTATTGTGAATGAAGCGGAAATGACTGAAATATCCTTGTTTAAAAGAGGAACAAAAAGAGAAGAAGAAAAGTTACTGAATCTATCTTCATACGTAAGAAAGGACCAGCATGAAATTAAAGATGAGCAATGGCCCGTTGCTTTATACTACCTCTGATTTTAATTACAAGACATTCTTCAATTTTTTTCTTGTCTTTTTTATAAAAAAAATTTCAACTTTTAAAATATATTAATTAAGGAGTTGCAACAGTACAAATGATACTATATTTGAATTTTAATTCATCATGGTTTGACTATAAATCGTTATGAAAGAAATATATTTTAAAATTTATTATAATTAAAATGTAATTAAATAAAGCTTTATAAAATACTGTTTCGGTTAAATTATAATCATTAAATCACGATTAATTTATACAAGACTTTTAAAAACTTGAAATGATTATAGAATTGTTTGCATGCATTAATTATTTATATATTTATAATTAAATTATAAAACACATAAAGATTTTAAAATGTTGTAAGTGAAGTTTAGAATGGTGGGGAGTTAAATTGTTTTAGTGACCAAAGAGATTATTTGGATGATTTGTACCACTCTTTTTAAGAAGTTTATCAACAAAGTCTCAAATTGTATCTAAGTTTCCAAGATAAACAATCTAGCTATAGACTAGATTTGAACCCTATTGCACTGGATGATCCGTTCTAGAAATACACTATTAAATGTGATACTAACACCATTTAAATATGGTATATCCATTGTGTATAAGTTATATTTTCAATTCACACATTAGCATTCTCAAATGTTTCTGTAATCTTTAACTTGAATTTTCTTTTTGAAAAACTCAGGAGTTTTCTTAAGATTGTGCTTAAGCATACATGTCTTTTGACTTGAACCTTTTCATAGTGAATATGATTTAGATTTTTGCCAGTGACTCATAGTCTTGAAACAACAACCTTTTCTTAAGCGTGTTCTTAAAAACAACATATGCATTAAAGGCATTACACATCAATCTCGGTGTAATGGACACTCTAGGAATTTTGTATGGAATTCCATAGAAAATGTCCTAGACTTTTCACATTGATGTAGGCAAATCTACCAAGAGTACTATTATAAGTAAGTATTTTAATTCTCATAAAGTATATATTTTATTAAGAGTTTATATCATCTCATTTTCACATCGTTTTAAGAATTTTATTTCTTTGTTAAAATGTAAATTTCATATCACTTCATAATTTGTTATTATTTATTAAATTTAATTTTTTAGATCTTTATTCGTTGAGAGTGGGAGCCATTATAAGTGATTCATATTTTTTTTTTAAAATAGTTTCATTATGTACGATGTTTTCTTGTTTTTCTTTCTAGCTTATCATTTTGTCATATGACCGATTAAATTTTTATTAATATATACATGATCTACTATAACAAATTTTTTTTGGCGAATAACTCTCTAATAATGTTGTGCTTAGAACATACATATTGCCTATTACCATTTCAATACTAATTCTTAATTTTTTATAATAGTCGTAGTACTATCGCAACAGATCAACATAATTGATATCCATTTTTGTTGTAAAAGAATCTTAATTAGCAAATATCTCAACAAACTTTCTTGTTCAATAGTTATTACTAGTGATATAATCTCAAACTCCATAATAGACTAATTCAATATTGTATATTTCTTATATTTCCAATAGCGCCGACTCATATACCAATTCTAAATATGTAAGGTTACTTAGAAACATTTGATAAGGTGTTATCTACTTTATTGTAATTCATAGCATTTTAAAGATTTCTTATGCCAATTTTATATATATCGGGTCTACTGCTAACTTGCATAATAGTCTCGAGACATATACAATATGTAGCCTGGTACAATAGGTAACATACCTGCAACATTAATGATGCTCTCATTCAAATTGTTTTAGATTTTTATCAATGTTCTTAGAGTTTTACAATTAGATCATATGGTGTGAAAGTATGTTTAGAGTCAAAGTAATCATATTTCTTTTTTAAGTAATTCAATACATTTAGACTAGTCAACATAAACTTCTTTTCCTTAGCTAAAATTTAATATCAAGGATTATATTTTGTTTCTTTGATATCTTTCATATAAAAGTTGTTAAATACAAATGATTTAAGTACATTCACAACATGAATATTTGAACTAAATATGAGTAAATAATCTATACAGAGACATATGATTTTTTATTATTTTGTAGTAAATGCACTTGTCACTCCATCACTTTATACTCATACAATATAATCAAATTGTTGAACTTTTACGTCATTCAATATTATAAAACTTATGTTTTTTCTCATGAGTTATAAAGTCTTCATATTGTTCCATGTAAATTTCTACTTTCAATATATTATTTTAACACTCACTTAAAATATTAATCTATTTTGAATATAAACAAGTGATATTAGTACTCTAATGGATGTTATCTTGGTGATTGGAGAAAATGTGTAGAAGAAATTTATTTTTTCTTTATGTCAAATATTTTTTTCTATAAGGTGAGCCTTACATTTATCGACAATTCTATTAGGTTGTATTTTATTTTTTAAAATTCATTTACAACGTACCACTTTGCAACTAGAGAAAAATTCTACTAAATATAAAGTCTTGTTAGAATCTAGAGATTTCATCTCATCATTTATGACTTTTTGCCACTAATCTCCTTATAAGGAAGACAAGACTTCTTTGAAGTTTGTAAGATACTCCTCCAATGTATAAACCATGTAATATTGTCTATAATATTAAGAAGGGTTTGCTTTCTTATCTCTTTAAGATTCCGTTTCATCTAATTTGAAGTTCTCACCACTCTGGGTCACATAAATGTGATCACTTATGGTGCATCATATATTGCTCAATTTGAAGGAAATTATTTTCAAAGAAATCAACATCATTGTTAATTACATACTCAATCAATACACTTTTATAGACTCTATCAGAAAATTATGCTCTATTAGAAAATTTATCTCTTTTGAGGTATGAGACTTGAGAATATGCCAAACAACTCCAAGTTCATCCACCAAAGAGATTAATGGGGTGATTTATGTACTAGGTCTCACTATCTCTCTCTCTTTCTCTCTCTCTCTAGATGTTTCACGATACTTTTCAAAAAATATGTATACAAACTATCAACCACGACATCTATAATAATAAATCAACTTAATTACAAATTATGATAAGCTTCTATTATACTGTATAATTTATTTTAAAAATACACTAAAAATTGATATTAAGAGCCCTCAAATATGGTATTAAAATTACTCAAAAGTGAACTACTTCAAGGTGGTGGTGGGATGGATGCCTGGTGGAGGATGTGGATCCCAAAGTGAACCAAAATTTGGAAGAGGAGCTTGAGACAATGCTTCCTCTGAAGGAAGTGAAACCCATTGAGGAAGCTACTATGGAGGATGGAAATGCCCTAACAGAGAATTTATTTGAAGACTCCCCAACACCTAGGCTGTCATTTTCATTGCTTTTGTATTTTCTTAACTTGCTTAGATAATACCGTCTCCACTTAGGGCCTTTTTATTGTAATTTTAACCTTTCTTGAGTTAAGCCGTTTGTTTTTGTTTCCATCCTTGGTGTCAGTGTTTCCTATGTCAAGTATAAATTTTTGCATGCATGATTTGATTGCTTGTAGGTGTTTTGTCCATGTAAAATATACCCTGTAGGGAGTCACTCATATGCATAAGGTTCCCCAGAGGGTTCCAACATATACCCCGTAGAGGGTTGTATATAGGCGCAAGGTTTCTTAGAGAGTTCCACCATATACCTCATAGGGTTTCTCGTAGGCGTTAAGCTTTCATATAGAGTTCCAACATATTCTTCTAAAGAGTGTATGGAGCTTTCTCTGAGCTTTGTACATGGTTTTTAACACATAGTTTATTAAAACATTTAGGGTGCCTCATTAAAAACCAATGTCCTTGCAAGAGAAAAAGTGTCACCCTAATATTTTGTTGATTTATTAATCATAATTCAAAAGATACATATTATATCGCCCCAAAGGCTTTGTTTTAACGATAATAATTTTTAACTTTACAATGTTCCACATTTTGGGGATCTTCTCTCCTTACAGGCTTTTAATTTGTAAGTTTCTTGGCCAACTTCTATCACAATCAATAGCACCCTTCTTAATTGGGGAATAGTTTACCCATCATGGCTGAGGATGACTACTTGTTTCAATACCAGGTCGCCTCCCCATATTGTTTTGGGCTTCATCTTAGTATTATATCTCTCTGCCACTCTATGCTTTGTTGCAAACTTATTAGTTTAGACCATCTCTCTAAATTCCTCTACCACGTCCACCGAACTTTTAGACCGACCTCATTGCCTTTATTATCAAAGTGCTATTGTCACAATGTAGTTATGTTGATTTCAACTGAGAGGATCACATATGACCGATAGATAATTCTAAAAGGGTCTATTTGGTTTTTGAATGTGGGGTGTGTTAGAAAAGTGACTCCAAACACGGGGGGGGGGGGGGGGGGGGGGGGGGGGGGGGGGGGGGGGGTTAATTATATGAGATTTTAAAAACGGTATCCAAATAAAAACTTTGATAAAATTATAATTTAAAAAAAAGTTTTGTAAAACAAACAAGAATAAGCAGCGAAATCAAGAAAATCCAAGTAGAAGGAAATACAACGGAAGCAAATAAATAACTAAAACTTAAAGATATAGGGGAAGAGAAAGATGCATTAGATATTTATAAAGGTTCGGCCTAAACACTTATGCTATTCCTCTCTCCAAGAATTTCTTCTTGAGAGTTTCCACTTTGATGTAAGCTTTTATAGGTTTTTCCCACGAACCTCCTTACAAATAGATTTGAGTTTTACATTGGCTATCTTCTAAATGAAAAGGGGGTTTTAACCATGGAGACTCTCAACCAAACATGAGACTTTAACACCAGGACAATCTCGAAACAAACGAGAGCTTTTAAC